TTTTTTTTTTATTGACACATCAAAGAAACAAAAACAATAGAAATTTAACTTCGTGCTTTTTGAAAGGAATTGAAGGACTGAGCGGACAAATAGAGACCCTTTGCCTCCAAGTTCCGTATCCCAACAAACTCTTTACAAAGTAGTTTCGGGCCAAAAAATATAACTTTCAATACAGTATGTTTACAGTGAAAATGGTAGTTTTCCTAACTCAGAACTTCTTCAAGTCTAATTTCTGCTGCTGGTCCCTGGAAATCTTGATCGAGAACTTTAACCTGTATAATAAAAAAATAAAAATAAAAAAAAGAAATCGTTGTGAGAATGAATGATTCTCCGTACTGAGATTTTTTGTAAGAACGATTCCACACACATCTCGGCATTTTGGATAATGATCAAAAATTCGTCTTCTTTCTGAAATTTATCGAATTTCAGAGTGCATCACATCTCGTTTTTCTCGGAATTTTGACTTGAAGAGGTTCAACTGTATATATTCTCAACAATTGCAATAAAGATTGAAAATTTTTGCGGAGCTTCCAGCAGCCGATGCGATTAAATAAGCAGCAAGATGACCAATAATACGCCAAATGAAGTCTGCTGCATACAAAAAAAAAAAACGCAACGAGGCGCAAGTGTAACTTATTCGTTTCAAATAACCGCAGTATTTTGAATATTTGATGAACACGTACGAGTACAACAACAAAACAAAATTACCCCTTGTGTTTTCTCAAACTCAGCATCATCGTCGCTAGGTGATGCGCTAGGAACGTCATTTGGACCACCGCCTCCGAGTTCCTCGAAAAATTTCTCCGTGTACTCCGTAGCTGACTCATCTGCAAAAAAAAACCAGAAAGAAAAATTAAAAATTCGCGATGACTTCATATACGCCCCAGAAACAATGATTTCATTGTGAACACACGTCATCACTGATACAGTATATGTGCGCTGGGATAATGTATTTCTGCTGAGAGCAATCTCATCAGCATTTGTTTTCGCTTCATCTCGAACAACAAACAGTATTATAAAAACACCAAGAAAACGTACCAATGACATGAACACGAGAACCTCCGGCGTGATCTTCGTCTCTGATCTGGTTGGCAACCACAACTGCTTGAAGTCGTTCAATCCTGCGACTTTCGGGTCCCATGTAAACGTAAATATCCTTGCCGCAATCCAAAATGAAACAGTCGCCGCGGTTCATCTGTCCAATTTCCAAAGGAATCTGCGAGAAAAAAATACCCATGTCCATCACTAAAAAGCCCAGCACAAGAAATAATGCTCCGAAAAACCTCAAATACTCTTTTATTTTACAAAAAAAAACTCGTTTTTACTCAAGGAAGACTGGTTTCTTTTATGCCTAAAATTTGAATGAAATTCACGCCAGCAGTGAGTAAGACATGCTCCCTAGTTCTATCAAGTGTAAAATTCCAATACGCAGTTGGGCATACATAATTTTAACCACTGGAAGTGAAAATTTCCCCATTTAAAAATTGTTTTAAGACCCAGTTTGAATTCCATCAGGAACACTAAATGATGAATTTCCCAAACTTGAAAACTTCCTTCCTCAGACCTTCATGACACGAATTTCTGGAGGCCTTTTGATGAGTAGTGTACATACTACAAATGTGACTTGCTAATGTTCAAAAGGAAGCGTGGATAATTGAAATAATTAACTGAAGTCTAAGATTGGCATCCTGTGAAATCATGCATTCAGATTTACAATAGTTTATGGCCCAAAAGATGACAAATTTCAGTTTCCTGAAATTCTCATTGTTTATACAGTATACAGAACAAAAATGACAGCTTCCTTTACTCTCCAGGATTATTTTCTTGCTGCTTCCTTCAAGTTTGACTCAAGAAAGTTCAACTTCATTTTGTAGAAAAAAAACACACCAGGATTTGAATTTTGACTTGAAGTGAACCTAAACTCAATTGCTTTCATTTACTGCGTATTTAATTAATTGTGAAAACTGATCCAACATTTTTTTAAATTAGAATTTAGTGTATGACGCGCATCCGAACTCCTAAAATTTAAATAAATTTTACACCAGCCTACGTATAATAATGCCGCGTGTTTCTCATTTTTTATTTGGCATTCAAAATAAAAAGGGCAGATCTCTTCATTTATTATTTTCTCCCCCGAGTCCTTTACTTTGAATTTCGTGAATCAATTTACCTCTGCATTTTAGATTTCCGACCTCTTTATTTTTCTTTTTTCCCGGGGTGATTTCAAAAATATCAATCAACCTGTTTTGAAAATTTGTGAAAATGTTCATCAAGAAGTAAGTCATGAACCCGCTTTGCAACATGTTGCATGTTATTATTTCATTTTTTAATTTATAGATTATTGATGACTGCGGACTCACTGGCGTTGAGAGAAATGAATTTCTTTTTGTTAGAAGTATGTATGGGATTTGGTTGAAAATGACATCAAAAATTGTTGACAGGGAGTTAGGTGGTCCACTTCCCTGTAAGAATCCCAAGTATATTGAAAAGTCAAATAGAATTTGTCAGCTGTTCAGCAAATTTCATTTGCGCAACCCCCGTTCTTATATTGAGAGCATTATACGTACAGTAAACCAGACTCCGTAGTTATGAAGAAAGATCAAAAAGCTGCAAAAAGCAGCTGCTGGTGATGATCATTAAAATTTTTGCGTTTTTTTTCTGTTTTTACTGCACTGAACCGTACCTCGGATTGTTTGTTATGACTGTATCAATTTTTAGTTTTCATTTTGTTATTTTATGAATTCGTTTGAAATAAAATTGTTATTTAACTTCGCAGCTGTTTTCTTTGGTCCACACAAAGGATAGGTCGAAAGCTTGGCGCGCGAGATAGGGATTAAGTCATGGGTCAGATGCTCGTCTTGGAAAAACGAGAGGATTAATAAGCTCATTAAGAAGGGCTTTGGGGGATAGGTTGAATTCACGTAGGTCGGATGCTTGTCACCC